ACAGGGACCGCGGTTCGATCCCCCAGCACCACATCTTGGTGGGCTGAAGTGGGCTCACACACACACACACACACACACACACACACACACACTCTAAATAAATGTAAATAAATAAATATAATTAAAAAAAAAAAAAGAAAGGAAGGAAGAAAGAAAGAAAGACAGTGAATTTAAAAAATAAAGGTCCATGCCTAGTCTGTAGCATGGAACTGTTGGGAGATAGTGGAACCTTTAAGAGGTGGAGCCTAGGGCCCATGAGATAGCTCAGTAGACTAAGCATCTGCTTAGGCAAGTGCAGGGGCCAGGGTTCAATCCTTGGCACCACAGGCTGCACTGGCTCTACCCCCATGCTAAGCAGACCTGTATTCCCAGCACTGGATCACAACAAGTCCAAGCTGTATAGTGAGACCCTGTACCAAATACATAAAAAAAAAAAAGTAGAGCCTAATCAGGTGGTCTTTAGATCATGAGGTGGTGTTGTACCCTCAAGGAGATAGTGGGACCCTGGTCTTCTCCTTCTCTTTGCTCCCCAGCCAAGAGGCAAGTTGTGTCCTCCACCATGAGCGCCTGCCATAATGTACACTGCCTCATCATACACCCAAAAGTCATGGAACCACCTCTAAAAATGTGACCTGAACTAGATGTAGTCTCCTACTGATGATCTCAGTTCTCTGCTATAAGCACAGAAAGCTTACCACCACAGCTTGCAGCAAGAGCTAGGGCAGGGAATGCCCTGTTGGGGGAATCAATGATCCTAAGGCATAAGCTGCCTCCAAGCAGAGAAGCAGTCCCAATGTAATACAACACAAGTAACTAAACACTGATAATTGGTGACATTCTCTAGAGTTTAAGTGCCAGGCTAAAAGTATAGAACTAACAGATTCCTAAAAAGTAATTTATCTTCATATTCAACAACAAAGCTCAAAGAAACAAAAATTAAGGATAAAGCTCTTTTATTGTAAAGTATACATTGAAACTATGGGGGCTACCATCCCTCTGGGTTTTTTTTTTTTTTCTTTTTCCTAGAATACTAGAATGTTAAACTGGAACATTAATTAAGTACCTCTGGGGTCCAGAATTTTGCCTATGAAGAGAAGGGCCCCCGTGTCCGTGTCCCTCAGGACAAAGATGAAAGGTTGGTTCAAGTGATAGTCCAGGGGGAATGAGAGGCGGGTAGGTTGGAGGTCTGGGTTAGCTGTGGCTCCTGGCGCCCCCTCCTCATTCCACTCAAAACCAGCCCGGTGCTCCACTTGAGTAAGCTTGACAGGTTTGCCTGTGATCTTGGTGAAGTCAGGTGACTCAAACAAGGATCGAAGCTCTGCAAAGATTGAGTGAGAGTCTAATGGAAGCCCCGCCTCATTCAACACCCAACAAACAATACAATCCTGATTCTTGATCTTTTTTGTTTTCTAAGTCAATGTCTTGCTCCATGTTACAGGCTGGCCTTGAACTCACTATGTGACCCAGGCTCACCTCAGATTTGTGGTGATCTTCCTGCTTCAGCCTCCCAAATTCTGAGATTTTTTCTTTTTTACAAGCTTGTGCCACCATGCCTGTTTTCAGCTGCTACCACCAGTGCCCAGGCCCATCTTGGCCCAGGAGCTGTCACAGTACCAGCCACACTGCCCTTGCAGCAGCAGCCATTGAGCATCTCCCCTGTAGGCCCGGTAGTAACAAAGTCCTAATTCTCAAGGAGGCAACCAAGCCAAATATGGTGGTGTACCCCTGTGATCCCAGCACTCTGGGAAGCTGAGGTAAGTTCAAGCCCAGCCTGGGTAATTTAGCAAGACCCAGACTCAACATAAAAAATAATAAATACAATAAAAGCAAGGGAATGCAGCTTAGGGCAAATGCCTGGGTTCAATCCCTAGTTCTACAAGAGGGGAAAATAAAAGTAGGAAGATAAGCTGGAAGAGAACTGTTTTTAAACTTTGTGAGGCATGTAGCTCCCAAAGCTGGTGGGGAGGTAAGTGGCTTCCCTAGAGCACACAACAAAGAGGCACAGACCTGTCCTGGCAGGCACTGTTCTGAGCTCCTGTTGTAAGACTATGCTAAGGTGCTAAGGACTGAGCCTAACAGCAAGGCAGTCCCATCTTCCCCTCCAGCACTATCAGAATGGAGCAAGCAGCTGGAACCTCCCTGCCACGCCATGGGGCCTTGAATTCTGTTTGGCACGGTGAAGGCTCAAAGACTGCACCCCACCCCATCTCCAGGGAGGAAGAGAAAGTTGCAAACGTACTCAGTTCCTGCAGGGACGTGGTAACTTCGCCTTCAAAACTCAGCTTCAGCTTGGGGATGCTCAGGACTGCTTGAACAGTCTTCAGTTCTCGGTTTATGTCATGAACAAACTCAGAGGTGAGGCTCTCCTCTATCATGGTCAAATTCTGAGTCGCCTTCACAGGCAGGAAGAAGATGACGCTCATGCTTCCACTCAAGGGTAGCTGGGCAATCTAAACCAACAGAGAGAGAGCACATGGGTTAATCCCTCGGAACCCAAGAGCCTGGGGATGGACACACACCACAACCTGCCAACTTGCACTGATCATTTGCACATGCAGAGCATCAGATTAGAGGTGGAGTTGGGTATGATACGGAAGTGATAATAAAATGGGTCCTTTGAGCAGAAGTTCTTAGCATAAAGCCCATGAAACAAATTCTGTCAGAAGGCACTGGAAATGATGCAAAAGTATGTTCATATGTACAAATGGCATTTCTCTCAAATGTTTCAGCACTTTTGTCATTCCCAAAGAGAAGGTTAAGAACTGCTTAGAATAAAGGAAGTCAGGCTTGGAATGTAGCTCAGGAGTAAAATAGTTACCAATTGCCTAGCATGTATGAGGGCCTGGGTTCCATCCCTAGCACTCAAAAAAAAAAAAAAAAAAAGGGTAAACCCTGAGTAGATAATTTTTCATACTATTCCTCACCCTATTTTAAAAGGAAAGGCTCAAAGAGATAAGTAGCTTCCTCAAAGTTATACACAGGTGAAATTCAGATAGCTGTCAGATCTCAAAAGGTCAGTCTATTTCCACGATCCGTACCTTCTACCTGCCTTTGACCTCTCCTGCCACCCACCAACCTCACCAGCCTCACCCCTCCAGACCTTGCAGTTGAGGTCAGTATCCAAGCCATAGCGGATAACAGCCTTGGGGTTTGACATCATGGGGACTTTCACAGTCCTCTCCTCATCCAAGTGGAAATCCTGGAGAGAAGTCTTTCTGGAGTCAAATTTTGTTACCCACTGCCCTGGAATGAAATGACAGAGTGTCCTGAGTCCTAGATGCCAGAGAGGCCACAGGATTGTGCTGTGTGTACAAAGCATGTTGAAAATCACCCACCTAAAGGAACCTTAGCCATCAGGACCTCTGACGGAGGAGGAGTAGCTGCTCAATCTCAGCATGTGTGGCTTGGGTGACAATATTTCCTGGGCCCTGAATACCTTATGCAAGTAAGCTCAGATTGAAATACATTGATGTTGTTGGTTTGACTCTGGATTATCAAGCTCTTTTGGTGTAGTGTGGGCTTTAATATACCAGACCTGTAACTGTTCTTTCATTCCCTGGACATCAGTGCTTGAAGTAGAAAGCCATCTGACTTTTCCCTAGGAGCTTATGGAGCCCACTGTTGCTGCCACATGACAGATGTCTTAAGGTTTGGGGGCTTTGTTTTTCTCTTACTGGGAATCAAACTCAGGACTTCGCACTTGCCAGGCAAGTGCTATTCCACTGAGCTATATCCCTGGTTAGTTATTCTTTTTCATTTCCTTTTAGGAGTTTTCATTTTGTTTTTTGAGACAAGGTCTCACTATGTAGTTCCGGCTGCCTTGAACTCACTATGTAGGCCAGGCTGGTTTGATGGTGATGGGGTAGCCCACCCAGAGTCACAAAGCATTTTAACCACCTCCCTTCCAACCCCATATCTGAATGAGGCTGGCCTCACATTAGGCCTGTGGAATGGCTCTGGGTACCTCACCACTGCTTACTGGAAGAATATTGATCAATAACTAACAAGTTTCCTAAGCACTCTTGTGTCTAGATACAATACCAGGGTTGTGAAAGCAAACAAAAACATACAGGCTGGGGGATGGGAGGTGGCACATCTGTAATCCCAGAACTCAGGAGGCTGAGATAGGAGGATCACTATAAGTTTGAGACCAGCCCGGGCAACACAGTGAATTCAAGGCCAGCTTGAACTACATGTGAATAACTGTCTCTTTTTTTTTTTAATTTTTATTTTATTGAGAAACAAATATGAATGAGACATTTTCAAAGCTGATTAATTGGACAGTTTCAATAATCAATACATTGTACATTGTTATCTTCTTAATGGTTATCCATAGTACAAAAAGCAGACAGGATATCCTGTCCAAACACTATTAGTACACCTCTTCTCATTGAATTAAGCGAAAGTAGCTGTATATTTATCCTAACTATTCTGTATATATAAATACAAAATGATCTTTCCTTTGTATCCCCCTTTTTTGTTTAGTCCTGTCAGAGGTGGATATTCAATTGGCATCTAAATACTATAGGTGTTTGAATTCAGCAAAACAATCCAACACTGTCTAGCAGTCTATAACATTAGTGGGTTATCCTCAGAAGTTATTGACTTGAGCCTTTTACAGCTCATCGTATTAATATGGTAAAAAAAAAAAAAAAAGATGGCCAGGGAAATGGCTCAGGGGAATAAGCACTTGCCTGGCAAGCACAAGGGCCTGAGTTTAATCCCCGGTTCCACCAAAAAATAAATAAATAAAAATAATAACTGTCAAAAAATATATACAAGGTGTCTATGAAGAAGGTGGGACTTTCACTTAATGAGGAGAAAACAGGCCCAGAAAGGCTAAGAAACTTGTGCAGGATCCAGTAGCTCATAAAGGCAAAGTTAGGTCTTAAACCTGTTCTAACTTAAAAGTCAGAAATTGAGCACCATCCCCAGCCCCATTTAGGCCTCACACAATTTGTGGATACTAAGCAAACACTTTAAGACACTTGATAGATGACAAGCAGATAGGTTTAGCACATGCGGTTCTCAGATCCTCCTCTGGCTTTGCCTCTAGGTTCCTGTTGGGTAAGATCTTTGACTTCTCTTTCTCAGCCTCCTCTATATATGCAGGCCATCTTCTTTGGCCAAAGAAGTAGAGAAACCCTCACCCTTGAAGTAAGCCACGCTGAGAAGGAGAATGCTGATTCCACTGGGCATTTCTTTTGTAGACCTGGGGATTTTCCCTTTCATCTGGGACTGCACCCAATTGTTAATCTCTTGAAGGTCAATTCGAGGGTTGCCAGTCAGGATTCTGGGCCTGGTCGAATATGACTTTTCCAGTAGTGCAACAAAGCTGGATTTTATCCGCAGCTCTGAGAAGAGGTGGAACAAGGTTAGTGCAAGAGAGCTAAACCAGCACTCTGTCTGAGAGCATGCCAGACTTAGGCTCTGGTTCATCACTCAGCAGGCCCCAACTTCCTGCCCGGCATCTTCCCATGACTCACCAGGACATCTGCTGGCTTCCCTGGGCATTGAACAAGGAACAATTCACTTTGCCCACTGCTGTTCCTCTTCATGTTACTGCCCTCCCCGAACCCTCCCGCTGTCTCTGCAGCCTACTTCCTGTTTCTGATCCTCTTTGGGCTCACAGGTCCCTTCCTGCCCACCAGTGCCAAGGCCTGGCCTGAGCACACATCATCTGTTTAGAAAGAAACCCCCAGCACGGAACATAAGAGTCCCAGGCTCTCTGGCAGCCCAGGCTGGAAAGATGACTGACTCCTCTCAAAGACAATCCGGGAAGCACTCTTCAAGTTCTTCTCGGGGGCAGTGACAGCAGCAAGGAGTTCCTTATAGGTGCCATGGATGTCGGGGTTGCTGATCACATCATAGTAGAGAGCCCGGTGAATGATGGATTCTGTTCGCTGTTCCGCTCCTGCAGAGAGACAAGGATGGAGCCTCTATAACCAAATCAGGCCTCACTCATTTTATCTTCTAGGAGCCTGAATAAGTGGATATTGCAGACCTTTTAGGTCGACAAGGAATTCAAGGGCATTGGAAGAAAGTGCCTTCGTGCTTAAGAGATTTTCCTACAGTAGGATAAAGGTATCAAGCCTAGAGAGACAAGGCTGGGGTTGAGTCCCTGTCCTCCCACTGCAGCACCTGCCCTTTTGTGTAGTTACCCTTCTATCTGTGTCCCCTGTGAGATCAGCTGTGACCCTACTGGGGGTAAGTCCAGACCTGCTGGTGGGTGGTTATATCCCTAGAACCTGGGCAAATGGCCAGCACATAGTAGGGAAAGAATACTGATGTCACTGTGTCAACAAGTGGGACTTTGCGTGCTACCCTCAAGTTCCCAGTTACATGAGCCATGATCCAGCTTCCCAGCACCTGTTTGCCTCCCGGAACTGCACACTCCAGGTCCTTGTGGCCTCATGTAGCTGCCCTGCACTCACCCAGCGAAAGAGCGGAGAGGGCTGTGGCCACGCTGAGCGGAGACAGCAACACATTCGTGCTGGGGCTCTCCATGGATCTCAGCCGGTACAGGTCATAGCCAAAGTTGGAGACGGCCGCTGCCAACTTGTTCATAGGGACCTTGAAGAAGGGGTCCTCCTCCTCCACTGGCTCCCCTGTGCTCTCGGGGGCCTGGGAGTCCTGGCAGGAGACAGGAAGACCTGGTTTAGAATGAAAGGACTGGTAGGGAGAGGCAGTGAACAATGTCCTCTTATGGTACTGAGTGGACTTGTGTTCTGGCCCCTGGAAGCTCTCCTTCCTAATTTTGATATGTTTGGCCCAACATCAGAATGGTTAGCATGAGCTTCTAGCTGTGGGGAGGCAGCCTAGAAGAGAGATTAGCGGCCAGGTTTATTTATTTATTTACTTATTTGGTTATACAATGGATATTTTTATTTATTTTTATTTTTTTTCCATAATTCTATTGAGAAACAAATAGCAATGAGACAGTTTCAAACCAAATTGGTAGGACAGTTTCAATAATTAACACACTGCATACATTCTTCCTAGTGGTTAATTGCTGTACAAGATGCAGACTTGATATCTCTATTCATTAAGAGAATGTAACTATATATCTATCCTAACCACTTTGAATACACAGATACAAAATGGACATTCATCTATATCCCCTTTTTTTGTTCTGTTATTTGAATATTATAGGTGTGTAAACTCAGCAAAATATTCTAAAAGAGTCCAGTAGCCCATAATAGTATTGGGTCTTCTGCTTGACTGGCAATGTCAGAAATAGTTGACCTGAGTCGCCCACAGCTTAACATAACAGCATGGCTTTACTTCTTATATTTCGTTTTTATACTTTTCTGCTGGATGGTTAAGATCAAGGTAAAGCAGCCAGGTTTAACTACTTGTGACTTGTGAGCCATCAGGCTGTAACATTTTTTTTTTTTTTTTTTTTTTTTTTCTAAATGGCAGCTGGAAATGTGGCTCAGTGGTAGAGTGCTTGCTTGCCCAGCATGCATGAGGCCCTGGGTTCCATTTACCACTCACAAAAGAAAAAAAAAAAAAAAAGTTGAGCACCAGACTCCCTAAGAAACCCTGTACTCAGGTCATAGCAGGCTACTGCCAGCTCCAGGGCTTCTTGTAGACACCCTCATCAAACCCCATCCTGACTTTCATGAGCTCATCTTCTCCAAAACAGATTTTTCCTATCTGAAGGGAACTTCCATTTTTCTGACAGTTTTTCAGAGTCAGCTACCACCTACTTACTTATGAGCCACCTACCACTGTGCCAGGCTCTTTGCTAGTTTTTATTCTGTTTTATGGTGCTGGAGATTGAACCAAGAGCCTCGTACTTTACCACTGAGCCACACCCTCAATACTGGCTGGTTCTTTCTGCCTTCACTCCATACTTGTTGATGTATTTATCTGATGCACCAGAAGACTAGTATCTCAAAAGAATTTACTTCCTCAAAACAAGAACTGAGTCTTTTACATTTCTATCCATCCCAGCACCCCTAGAGTAGGTATTCAGGTGAGAGATAACTGAATGGCCGCAGTACCCTTTAAGGAAATGGGGAGAGATTTAAGAGTGACTTGTCAGGTCACTAAGCCAGTGACAGGTAGGACCAGGATTCAAACTCAGAAGCCACAGTCAAATCTAGGGTTCCTGCTAATATATCCCAACTGCCTTGACCCTCCTGTAACAGGGACTCCAACACACACTTTCATATAGCAGGGTCTTGTCTGCAAGAGTCTCTGCCTGCCTTTGCAACCCAGCTGTGCTCTCACTGGACAGGAGGTGTCTGCCCACACTAACTCATTCTCGGCTGCACCACTGGTCAGTGTCTGAATAAATGTCGGAGACCACTGCCCACTCAGCCCCACGAGTAACTGGGGAAAGGTCCTTACAGAAAGGACAGCCCCAGACATTGCTGTGTTTTGTTTTGTTTTGTTTTGTTTTGTTTTACCCAAAATCAAATTCAGCACCTTGTGCTTGCCAGATAGGCACTGTACCACTGAGCTATATCCCCGACCTCTTAGCTACCTTTTTTCTTTTCTTTTCTCTTTCTTTCTTTCTTTCTTTCTTTCTTTCTTTCTTTCTTTCTTTTCTTTTCTTTCTTTCTTTCTTTCTTTCTTTCTTTCTTTCTTTCTTTCTTTCAAGACAGGCTCACACTCTGTAATGCAAGGTGGTCTTGAACTTACTAGGTAGCTCAGGCTGCTGGCTTTCAACTTGTGACCCGCCTGCCTCGGCCTGCTGAGTCCTGAGATTATAGTCATGTGCCACCAGACCTGGCTTTTGGATCTTATTTTTGACCCTACTTTGACCTTTGAAAAATGCTGTGGGAGAAACCCAGACCCTGGTGGAATAAAGGCCAGAGCCTAGCTTGAAACCCAGGTACCACCTCCCAGTCCCATCCCCTCTACTGCCTGCTGAGGAAAGGCTGGGATCACTGATGCTCTCACCCCCGAACCCCCACTGACCTCTGGGTTGCTGGCGATGTTCTGGCAGCTGCCATGCCCTAGCAGGGCTCCAGTCCAGAGGAGTAGCACAAGGGCCTGCATCCTGAGCCTGCAAGAGAAATAAGAGATGCAGGCCACTTCCCTCCCTTGACATCTAGGCTTGCCACACCATGCTAAGAAGGAAAAAGAGGACAGGTAGAGCAAGCAACTTCCCTCCACCTCCCAAGCCCAGATGTGTCCCTGAGCTTGAAGACAGCACCCTCCCAGCTGTTCCCACTGTGCACCTGCCTCTCAATCCAGTCATGCCCTGAGCTGGGCTTTCATCCACAGACTTGGTGTCCAGTGACCTATCTTGGAACCTAAAGCTCCAGAACAGTAACGGCCCTGAAGTGGGGTCCTCTGCACTGGCTGGGCCCTAGCACCTGCACACACTGATGCTTTTCACCAGAAGCACCTGATCTTCTTGTCTGATTTGGGCACTGTCTCCTAAGAGAATGGCTGCAAAACCCAGGTCCTGTCCCTGGAATCATGAAATACCAAAATGGAAGCGTCCAGTCCAACACCGTCCATCCCCAGGGGGTTCTCAAGCTCCTTGGATTCCTGTAGCCTGAAACCTATGGCCTGTACAGATGTTCATCCCCTTCTCATTTCCACTTCAAGAGGTCCTCCCCTAATGGGAGGGTAATCTCAGTTTAGATCTCTATCCTGGCCCAGTGTGGTAGGAGACACTTGGGAGGCTGAGACAGAAGGATAGCCATGAGTTTGAGGCCGGCCTGGGCTACACAGAAAGACCCTGTTTCCAAAAAATGGTGCATGCCTGTGATCCCAGCACTTAGGCGCTTGGGAAGCTGAGGCAGGAGGATCACTATGAGTTGGAGACCAGTGTGGACTATATAGCTAGACTGTCTCAAAAACAAAAATCTCTAGTCTGGGTATTAAGTGGTCTCTTAAGTAAAATTAATTCCTATAAAATGTAGCTAAAGTAATACCTATTAGCGCCGGCCCAATAGCTCAGTGGCTCAGTGGACTAAAGCATCTGCTTAGGCAAAGCACAGCGGCTGAGGTTCAATCCCTGGCGTGCCATGCCAGCCCACCCCTGGGCATGCTGAGATGGTGGTTGAGACTGGGCATGGTCGTGCATCTGTAATCCCAGCACTTGGGAAGCTGCAAACAGGAGAATCACTACAAGTCCAGTCTATGTAGTAAGACCCTGTAGACACTCTGTCCTAAATACATTAAAAATAAAGTAATACCTTAGTAGCACTTAATGCCAAAGATTAATAAACTTTCATATGATCCAACTGCCAAATGTGCTTTTTTTTTTTTTTTCCCGGAACCAGAGATTGAACTCAGGCCCTTGCACTTGCCGGGCAAGCGCGTATTCTACTGAGCTATCTCCCCGGCCCCCAAATGTGCTTTTCTTCCAGAGAATCCAAGAGTCCCTTCCCTGTGGAGCCATGCCCTCTCACTCCTTTCAGCTCAAAAGTAAATACTTCTGAAGCCCCTGGAGCCTTCTTTCCATCAGACTACTCTGTTGTTTTCCTGGGCATTGAAGCCAGGGAGCACTAAACTACATCTCTTCTCTTTTTATTCCTAGTACCTTACTAAGTTCTCCAGGCTGGCCTCGAGCTTCCAATCCTCTGGCCTCAGCCTGCTGAGTTCCTTGAGTTATAGGCACACACCACCACATCTGGCCAGAGGCTTGTAAGACTGCCTCCTTCACCTCCCCTGCTCAGTAGTGGCCCCTCCACCAAGCTTGCAGTCTAGCACCTGGACCACAGAGAAAACTCTCATGTGTTTTTGTTTTTAATGTATTTAGTACAGGGTCTACAGGGTTTCACTATGAACTTGTAATAATTCTCCTGTTTTCAGCCCTCCCAAGTGCTGGGATTACAGGCGTGCCAGGGATTGAACCCCGGCGGCTGCTGCTGCACTCTGCCTGAGCATACTCATTAGTCCGCTGAGCTATCTGGCCAGTCCTACAGAGAAAACTCTCAAATCAGGGTCTAGGGTACTAGTTTCTCCTGTGCACCTCATCCCTGTGTTCACCCTGGAACCAGGCAAGGAGCAGCAAAGGCAGCTGGGGGTTTTTACACATAAGATCTTCCAAGAAGTTATTTAGTTATAAAGTCAGACAAGGTCTTAGCAGCCAGATCTTTGACTGGGCCATATTCTCCATCTGCCCCACAACACAGCATCCTGAGGGGCTCCTGGGTTCCGCCATATCCCTTTCTGTACACAGCACACTAACTTCCCTGATTTTCCCCAAAATTAGATCAAAAAAGTCAGGAGGGCAGCACGTGATTGTTGGCTGAAGTCCTTAACTTTAAATCTAATAATCCACCAGACAACACTGTAATGAAGGAAAGGCAACAAAGAAAAGATCTCTGAGTTTGTTCAGCTAAAGTCAGTACCGCTAGCAGGAACCAGCAGCCTTGCTTTCTAAGCCCTCCTAGAGCTGGCTGAGCGAGAGTCCCAGGGCCCGCTGCCTTCTCACCAGCGGCTTCTCCCCATGGCTGCCGTCCATTCAGACTGGAGGCTCAGCAGTCCCCAGAGGCCCGACAGAGATAGAGACCTCAACATGCAGGCTCCCAGATGCTCTCCACCCAGCCAGAGCTGTCAGGAGCCTCCCTTGCCTGAGCCCCAGGGGACTGGCTTACTGGAGACTGGAAATTCAGTGGGATGCTCAGGAGACGAGGCTAGCAGCAAAGCTGTCTCGCCCCAGCTGACCTCTCACCAGAGCAGGGAGTTGGGAGAAAGGGGAAAGACACAGTCAGCCTGGCATAGTATTTAAAGAAACAACCTCAGGAAATAGTTCAGATGCATTTGAAAGTGACTTCGTCCTGTCGTCCCTTCCCTAAACTCCAGATCAATATAACTGATCACAGTCACTACATGGATAAACTGAGGACTGGAGATGAAGTGAGGGAACCTGGCAGGGAAAGGGACCAGGACCCAAAGCTGGCCCAGAGCTAAGTGCAGGAGGGGCAGTACCAAGGGCCATGGCACCGAATCCTCTACCTCAAGCCACTGGGATGCAGAAAGTAGAAAGGCTAAACCCCATACTGGGACAGACAGAAGGGCTCTGTGGTAGGCGCCCCGAGCACACATGAGGAGCCGTGCAAGGTGACTGGCCTGTAGACTGGGACTGGCCAGGGCACAGGGAAAATGATACCATCCTGTCCAAAGGGCAGAATGGGAGCCAGCCTCCTGACCTACCAGATGGGGGAGGACATGGGAGGTGGTAGATAGCCTGGGCTAAGGTCAACCTTCCTTTCTCCCACGACCAAGAGGCGCAGGAACTGGGATGTTGTGAGCTTGCTTTTATCCAGCTGGGGGGATAAACACGAGCCAGAACATGTGTTTCAGATTAAACCCAGCTGTAAGACAAACACGATGGCGCCTCCTCCTCTCCCCCCTCCTTCTCCAAGAGCCACACAGGCTTCAAGCCACAAGGCAGCCAAAACTGTGGCCCATGCAAGAAAGGGAACCCCTTTTCCCCTGTCTTGGAAGAGGGTCTCCAGTGTGTGTGTGTGGGAGGTCCCCTCTGTCCCACCCATGGTAATACTACCAGTCCTCCAGCAGTATTTTTTTTTTTTTCTGAAATCTTAGAATCTAAGTGAGGTAGACCATTACCTCAAAATCTCACATCCCAGTACCTGAGATGCACCAGCCCTGAGACTAGAACTCCCTAGATCCCACCCCAAGCTCCTTCAGGCTAAGGGCTCTGTATGGAAAGCCGTGGGCCCAGCAGTGGTAGATTTCCAAGCCTTTTCTTTGCCTCAAGGCAAGCCTCTGGGAGTAAAAGGGGTGCCCAGGCAGCCAAGCCCCCCAACTCCATGTACTGGCTGGGGGACTTGGCCATTGTTCACCAGGGGTGGGACCTTTCCTACTCACTGGTGGTCCTGAACAGAAGGCCCGTCTGTACTCCAGCTCAGCCCTCAGGCAGGGCATAGCAGCCAGCTGCTAGGTAGTGCTGGGAAATTGCCTTTGAAATCAGCACCAGTTAATTTTGAAAAAGCAGCAGCAAGAGGAGTGAGTAGAAGCCAGACTGGGCTGTAGGCTGGCCGCCTTCTGGCCACCGCTGTGGGGACATCTCTGAGAGGGTCCTTCTCTTGGGGCTGTAGCCCTTTGGAGCAGCTGCTCAGACCTGACCTAGAGCTTAGCTCTCTGCTTCCACAGCCCCCCACTGTTTCCCAGTCACTAAAGTCCTTTAGTGTCCTTTCTTGCAGTGGGGTTTGGGGATAACCAGCTCTTGTCCTCTGCTTCCCCTACTCCTTCTGCCCCCTCTTATCCCCAGCTACTGAAGCTATTCTCCAACACCTCTTCCTCGCATGCCATTTTTTCTGTTCCTGGGTACCCCACCTCCCTCCTCTCTGGCCCTGACCTGCAGACCAGACCCTGAGCCCCTTTACCTGTGGTTCACGCAGCTCCACTCCCAGCTCCCCTCCCAGCTTCACTCCAGCTTAGGTCGGGCTCTGGCCCTGTGTGCACTCCGAGGGGCTCTAGCCAGCCCTGGAGCTTTTATAGCTGCCTCCCAGCCAGCCTCCAGCAGGCTTCAGATTACAGCTACTCTTCCACCCCCCCTCTTTTTTTTTTTTTTTTTTTTTTTTTTTTTTTTAACAACTATTCTTTCCTTAAAGCGACCTGCACTCAGTTTGGATTCTACTATTGCATCACTGTGTGAAGTTAACTTTAACCTACTGTGGTCCTTCCACTCCACACCCCTAAGATCCACTTGTAGGCACAACTTCCCCCTTTTTGTGGACTTCCTGCAAGATGATGAGCTCGAGGGTACCTTGGCCAGCCTGGTGTCTTGCAGGATGGATTGGAGAGGTAGGCAAGTGGAGCAGAGAAAACAGCCCAGTGGAGAAACTCAAAACTTTTTTTTTTTTTTTTTTGAGACTGGGTCTCCAATGCAGTTCTGATTGGCCTTGAATTTGCAGCAATCCTCTTGCCTCAGCCTCCTGACTCCTGGGATTATAGGCATGCACAATCATATCCAAATGGACTTGGGATTCTTCTCTGTCCCTGGCTCTGGTACTGACTGAGGTTTGGGGCAAGTTAACCTGGCTCTTTCCCCTCGTTGGCTAAAAAATGAAAGAATAGATTAAAATTGTCAGGGGGTCAGGGAGGTGGCTCAGTAGAATATGTGCTTCCCTGGCAAGCACAAGGGCCTGAATTCAATCCCTGGTTCCACCAAAAATAAAAACATAAAAATAAATAGAAATAAAAAATAAAATTGTCAACTTGCTTTTCAGCTCTGAAATTTTGTGATTTCTGAAGGCTAGATTGGGCAGTAGGGTCTGGAGGAGGCCTACAACATAGTTACCCATAGGGGAGACATTGGCTCAGCTCACCTGGGGTATTTAGGAGACAAAAATGGGCTGGGGAGATAACTTAGTAGACTAAGCACTTGCCTGGCAAGTGCAAGGTCCTGAGTTCAATCCCCGATACTGAAAAAAAAAAAAAAAAAAAAAAGAATGAGGCTGGAAAAGTAAAACACCCTCAGGCATGGCAGTACACACCTGAATTGCCCAAGTTTGAGCCAGCCTGGGCTCCGGAGTGACTCTCTACATTGAAAAACCACAGATGAGGGCCAGCCAAATAGCTCAGCAGATTAAAGCACCTGCCAGCAGGCACAGGGGCTAGGGGTTTGATCCCCCAGGCCTGCCCAGCTGGCCCTACCCCAGGGTGCACTGAGATGGCAACTGAGACTTGTGGTGCACGTGCCTGTAATCCCAGCTCTTGGGAGGCTGTAAACAGGCGGATCACTA